ATTTATAAATTTATAATTTATAATATTAAATAAATATGATATAGTATTAAATGAATAAATATATATAATAATACTAGTGGATTCTTAAATAAAAATAGTTAATTATATAAGGAAATAAAAATAATTAAAATTAATTAGGGATTATAAACTTATATTTTTACATAATATGCCATGTAAAAAAATAAGTAAAAAGCACTAATATATAAAAATTTAATAACTAATAGAGAAATGAGCTTTCAATATTAAGGGACCCGCCTTATCAATGCAGTCTACATATTTTTTTTATAAAAATATTAAAAAATGAGGGTAAGGTTATCTAAAAAATGAAAATATTATAGTTTTTTTATGTTTTTTTTTATGTTGATTGCATAATGAGAAGCAACCTTCCTTCATTTTTTATCACATCTTATTTGTATGTCATACGACTCAAGTTCAAAACTTTTTACTTCCAACGAAAGGAAATCATCATTGATTTATTTAAGTTGTTGGTTGAAAATATTATAGTTAAAATATCATATAACACTACAAATTTATAATATAAATTTTTATTAATTTTAATTAATATTTTATATATTTTGAAATAATTAAAGACAAAAAACCAACCATTACCATACAACATTGACAAATTGATGGATTTTTGGATGAAAAAAAGATTAAAGAACAATGATTCAAATTAGGAAAAAGACTTTGATCAAAATACAGGTTTGGATTTTCGTTTTTCCAACTTTTCTCTCATTCATTTCATTTTCATCTACATCTGATTTTTCAAACAAGTGTAGCTTGAATAAAAAGAGGGATTACATTGCTTACTATCCTCTCAATCGTACAAAGAATTACATTTAATGCATATTTGCTAAAGAGTTGACATATCAGCACCGTTCTATTCCAACTGCATTTGTAGTCTAATTATCAAATCTCAACCACCAACAAACTATTAAATACATTTATTATATTGAACCAGTCTATCAGGTCTATTGATTCATTATCCAAACTTAAGCGTATAAACTTAAGTAAATCAGAAGTTCTACTCCTACTTACTACTTGAAAAAATATCCCCCATCCCCAAATTCTCCAATGTTCAATAAAAAAAAAAAAAATACACCTACTACATTAATGAAGGAGAGTTACAATGCAAACAGTATACTTCTAACACAAATGAAGCTTTAAAAATAGTGCAATTCACTCTATAGTATTCTCTTATTATTTTAGTAATTTTCAGCTTTGAAGTTGAAGGTGCCAAATTAAATTGAGAAGACTGAAATGTAATTTATCATGTGTTAATTACATTATTTTTAATTATTAATTAAAAAATGAGTTTTTAATATTAAAGAGTTTACCTTTTATTAATAATTAAGTGAATGAAAGTGGGAAAATGTAATCAAATCACAAATTACTAATATCTTTTATTAGGAAAAATTTTTTTGTCTTTTGCATTTTATGTCACTTGTCGTTATGACGTTGAAGTGTGAAATAATAATGAATGAGAAAAACTTATCTCCTACAACTAACTAATATTATACTTTTAACGTTAAAATAATTATCTTATCCATTTCCTCTCGTTTGTTAAATCATTTTAAAAATTCTGAAAAAGCACCTGTTTTGGAACAGAGAAGGAAGTAATTTCTATATCTATTCTCAATTTCAAATATTTCTAGATGTTCTGTGCTTCACAACACATATGAAGAAAACACGGTCCAATTTGATGCGAAAAAGGAAGTTACTTATGAACTTCCTAGTCAAATGCATCTGTCAATTTTCCTATATATATTCAAGGTGCATCTTTTTCATTATTTTATTGTAAAGGTTATTTATATTAATTTTTTGTCATTTAAAATTAATTTTTTTCAAAAATCTTAGTAACGAAATCTCATATCTCATATTGATTTAATACATTTTAAAAAATTAAATTTGTTAATATTATTTTTAAAATTTAAAATTTAAATTTAATATATATATTCAAGGTGCATCTTTTTCATTATTTTATTGTAAAGGTTATTTATATTAATTTTTTGTCATTTAAAATTAATTTTTTTCAAAAATCTTAATAACGAAATCTCATATCTCATATTGATTTAATACATTTTAAAAAATTAAATTTGTTAATACTATTTTTAAATTTTAAATTTTAAATTTAATATATAAAATAAAACTTATTTATTAATAAATTCAACAATTATTTATATCCATGCTTTGCTTTTCAGTAAACAAAATACATCGTCTTTTTCAATTGGTCATCTAGGACCGGAGCTCTCTTCACTTTTGACTCTCCGTGAAGGGTTGGTCTCACTCCGAGCCAAGCAAAATGCACCCACACGCACACAAAAAGGATAATAAAATAAAATACAAGGACAAAAAAGCAAACATATTTTTGAGGAAGTCTACTCTTTTAAGTCATCCCTGGCATGCCCCACTTCCTTGATTGGTATTTTAGGCTCCTGGCATTAACGTTGAAGCTTCCTGTAATATCAGAGGAAGCTCATGGAGAAACTACCCTTACTACTCAAGCCACCAAGGCCAAACATGTATAAAACAGCTGCAGAGTTATGGAGGATTGAGTTATAGCCTATGTTTGATATCAATATGTCTAATAGCAATTCTAGGGTATTGGAGTCACCAGAAACTGAGCGTGGAGATGACTCCAATTTCGAGCTCCCAGAGGACTACTTGATGTCGGATGGCTGGTTGGAGGATTATCAGCCAGCTGTTATTAATTCCGGGCTCACCGGGAATCCTGTTAATCAAGAAAATACAGTTAATGAGACTGGTGGGATTAGCAGCCTCCACGAAGGACCAAATAACAGTAAGAAATCTCATTAGTTGGCTTCTTAATTAAGTTTTTCCATTCTCTATACATACAGATAAATAATCATCTTCCTCTGGTTTTTCCATGCAGGAGAAAGTGAAGGTAGAAGGGTGGAGGGGGAAGTAAGAGAAAGATTTGCATTTAGAACACGGTCAGAGGTTGACGTACTGGAGGATGGGTACAAGTGGAGGAAATATGGAAAGAAGAAGGTGAAGAACAGTCCAAATCCAAGGTAAGAAAAGTGAGTTCTATTTGATGTTTGTTTATATTACAGCTCTTTAATCTTCAGGATCTCTGTGATTAACAGGAATTACTATAGATGTCATGTGGAGGGGTGTCCTGTGAAGAAAAGGGTTGAAAGAGATAAAGAGGATCAAAGTTATGTGATTACAACTTATGAAGGGGTCCACAACCACCAGGGCTCTTCTTAGTGTTTGATGTTTTCTCAGGTTTCAGTTCTCTGACTATAGTTAGTAACTTAGTGTAGTTTCCTGCAAAACTTTTGCAGCATCAGGAAGTATCAGGGACATGATCCGGAGTTTGTAATATGATGTTCCGGAGTTTGTAATATGATGTTCTTTTTCTGTTTATGGTGAAGAAATCTAAAGATTCATAGAAAAATACAATGAAAAGTTTTGCGGGACAAGAATACAGAGTTCTGCTATTGGCTGGTTGACTGCGTTCTGCTATTGGCTGGTTGACTGCGTTCTGCGATGACTAACAGTCAATTTCAGTCCCAATTTTTAGCTGATTTCTTTTGGTGTAGCAGCACAATTATCCAACTTGAGAAGGAACGTGCTTTCTTGGAGAAAAATAAGCTAACTTAAACATCAGCTATAACCTTTTATTAATTCAATTTAAATTGATTACAGATAAAAGAAACATACAATCGCAAAATCAACTCCTAATGGGCTGTACAGTGTACACTCTTCCCATTTCTATACTAGCAGTAAATTAAAGTAGTACAACAAAAGGTATTAAATGCACTATATTCACCATATAAATGGAAAGTAAATTATATGCAAATGCTACCTTTAGAGAGTAAAAACCAGCAGGCTAAGACACACTGACACTTTCATTTGGAAAGATCACGTTAGGGTTTCGAATCCAGTTAGTTCTTGAATTGTGGATATTGTAAGTTAGACTCCACAGGACATCCCTATCTTGCAACTTTCTAATCACGGAAGGGTTTGATCCCACAATGGCACTCGACATTGTAAATGACTGCTTCTTGGACTTAGCCATGCCACTAGCAAGCAACCAGCGAGTCCCAGATTGCTGTTGTGTTCTTGTACCCCAAAGCAGCTTTTTGTCAGGCTTGGTATCTAGACCTGCAAGATTGACCTTGATGATTTTAAACAAAGGAGAGCCTTGTTCTTTCTCCTGACTGACTACTGAATCATCTTTCTCCTCCCAGTCTTGTTCTTGCTCTATAGCAACAGAAGCTCTCTCCAATTGAATCAGAGCAAGCATTGAATTTCCTACTGGTTCATAGTTTCGAAGGGGATCTCTCAACAATACCCTCAAAGCTACTGTGATGTTATCGCCCAACAAGCCATGGAGTTTAACAGATGCTTTACCACATTTCTTGTGTTTTGTCAAAGTTCCACTAACCAAATCTATGCCCTTGGAATTATGAGCTGCAAGAATCTGAATCATGTGCTCACTAATTTGATCTTCATCAGCGATAATTCCAGCATCCAGCTTTAACCACTCGTCCAATGGTATGGAGAGACCCATTAATCTATCAACGCTAAAGGTGGTATCGTCTGCATCTGGAAATGATAAACCTGAAGCTGGCTCTGAACAAAGGAATTCACCACAATTTGAAGCCTTCCCTGCAAAACCTGACACCTTTCCAGCAGATGAGGTACTTACGCTTGAGGGTGCATCCACATCTGACATGCCTGACTGAATTTTCAAACCCTCTATTGCAAGGGCTTCAATCTGGCTTAATGTCAGTGGAGCAAGATTTCCTAGAGGCACATAATCACCTCCTATCATGTCAGAGTTCAGATGATCATATTCCCAATCAAATTGAAATCCTTCAACTTCCTTTCTCTCAGCAAATGAATCCAGCTCAAACAATGATTCACACTGCATCTTAACCTGCCTCTGCCTACCAAAAGAATTAAAGAGAGTCCATAAAAAAAAGACATGTAAAAGAGCAGAAGGGGGATGAAGGGGAAAGGAAGGTGGATAGAAATTGAAAAGAACTAACAACAAAAACTATAAACAATTATACTTCTTACACTAATGCAACTACCACACGGTTCCTTACCTCTCAGGCACCATTGCTGTAGGTTCAACTTCCTGAGCTACTTGTTGTATCGTCTTCCCAGTAATATCCTCCAAAGGCATTAACGTATTCACCTGCAAGGAAAGATTCTCAATTCCAAGGGACGCCAAGTTCTGCACTAACTCCATAATATTGGAACCCAATCTTGCAGGAAATAGAACTGGTCTAGATACTTGTATGATTAAGTGCCCAACATTTTTACAATTTCTAAATAGTAAAGGATTCATGGACCGCAGATAACCTCCACTCTTGATCTGAATTAAATGTCCAACACCATCTCCAAGTGGAGGCAATTCAACTGACTCCTCTGAAGGGAGCTCAATTGGGCTTCCAAACCCATCAGAGCAAATGCGTGGAGAACTCTGAAATGCCTTCTCATCTAACCCCCACTCAAGCATCAGAGCTTCAGTTTCCAAGTCTTCTAGCATTTTGACCTTCCTTCTATCCTTCAGTAGTTGTCTCTCCATCTTATGCTGCTCAATGTCTGAAATAACTGAAGAGAAAATGGAATCTTCAGAAATATCATCTGCAGAGCAGGAAGGTGTCATGGTACTGAGCTCCTCTCCCACTGCATCAGAATCAAGAATGAAGTTTCCAGAAGCTAGGGCATCATTTTCAAACTCTCTCAACAGGCGTTCTCTAGGAGACTCTGGAGCACTTCCACAAGCTGGGCCAAATTGACCACGTTCAATTTCTAGCATATTTAAGAAATCAGTAGCTACAGATTCAGCAATGTCATCCAAGCTTAGCAATTTCTTTGGCACTTTGCCAGCCTTATAATTTGACTTAACCTCCATGTACTCTTCTTGCACAAGAAAGTCACTTAGAGCTGGTGGAGATTCCAAATCAGTCAATTCTGAAATCAAGAGGTTATGGAAAGATGAATCCACCACTTCCACAGTTGAAAGGTTGGAACAAGTGCTACTCTCCTCTAGGTAACTGCTGCAGTGGTCTACCTCTGAACCCTGTTTGGACTCCTCATCAACTTCTGCCTCACAGTCTTTAAGGATTTCATCCACGTTTATAGTTTCAATAATAGAGCCATCAACAGTGTCAATAGCATTTTCTTCCAATTGAAATTGATCTTTCTGACACATTTCTACCCACTGCTCAGTGACAGAAAACTCAGTGTCTCCACATTCATTTGTACCTTTGTCCAACTCAAAGTTATCATCAGAAATAGTGTTTGGTTGCTCTGCATACTCAGATGATTTATCTAACCTTGGTGAGCCATGCAAGTTACCTTCATTGAGTTTCTGATATAGAAAACTTATTGAGTTTGAGAGCTCCATCCCCAGATGTGGCAAAACGTCATTAGTAAGGTTTATGTCAACTGATGGAGATGAAAGCAGAGACCGTAGATTTAAGTTACTTGAAATACTCCCAATATGGTGAAACATACCATCGTCATTACTTAGACCTCCACTGTGTTTCACTTGACTTGGCCCATCCAGTTTGTCTCTTGATTCAAGTAGATTGTCCTTGGCTAGGAAGAAACCAAAACTAACATTTAGAGTAGCACCCTTAGCCTTGCCAGCAAGCTTGAAGCTTGTTGTCCACTTACCTGAGCTATTATCCCCTTCTAGCTCCTCAAAAGAAAGTGGCAACAACCTCGTGAGATCAACCCAGTGCTTCCCTATATCAAGACCAGGAGCTCCAACTACAGAACCATAAATCAGGAAAAGCTTCTCCTCATACTTTGCTGAGTTCTGGGATCCACTTCTACTACCATAAACAAAACATCTATGTTTTAAAGTCTCTTCAAATTCTGCAACCCCATCCAAAACCTTTGATGCACGGGTACATGACACCTGGTTCTTCCTCTTCCATTGCATACACAAACTTAAGTGGTTAAAGTTCACAGGCAACCCTTCTATGGAATGCACATGGAGAAAGAAACAAATATCATAGCAAATATGCCCGATATGGGTTAAAGCTTTCAAGGGCTTCTTCCAATTCCACAATAAAGATGACTTCTTGTGCTTGTGTTTCATATTTCCAAGGTCTCCCTGGCTTTGGTTTGATTTTGATTCAGGGAAACGGCTTTTGTCAGCATATTTGGATCGGACATGGGATGCAGAAATCAAAGCCTTCGGTGGGGGTTTATGCAAGTAAAGGGCTCTGCTTATGTCCTCAACATCGCGCAACAATCTAGCACTACTCGACTCACAGGCCCTATCATTGCTATCAGACCCAGTTCTGGATACAATCTCTTCAGCCATTTAAGCACTAAAAACAACATAAAATGCAGCAGAACTAGGGAGTTCAGTTTCTCCTCACATCCAATCAATCTTACAAGGACTAATCTGAATCGTAATCTATAAAAAGCACCAAAGAAGGAAAAGAACAAATCAGTAATACATCTAGATCAAATTACAACAACTGACCAGAAACCCCAATATGGATTAAAAAAATAAAAAATCCAGTCTCAAAACCATTTCTTTCTCAAATTCATATAAGGTGAATCGATAGCAGAAATCGAAATATAGTTACCTGAAAATCACGGCAAAGACGGAACCTTTGATCGATTTCACTGCCGCCACTAAGCAGAGTCAGAATAAAGAGAAGAATCGGAATCGGAGGTTGGTGTTGGGAATTGAAAACAACGGCGACAAAGATTAATGCTTTAATTTTTTTTCTTTTCCCTCCGTACTTTCCCCGGAAAACCACATGGAATTAACGTGAAAAAGATTAATCTTTGGGTTGGGGCCGCAGTAGCTGTCCCTTAGGTAAGCATATTCTACAGGAGTTAAGATAAAGTGTACTCGACTCCATTGTAGTAGTAATTTTAGGACCGGATCACATGTGATCTGATTATTGAAATCGAAAATTATATACTTAAGTTAGTTACAACATTATGTATAT